TTGCTATGTTGCCCAGGCTGGTCTTGAACTCCTGGGCTCAAGCAACCCTCTTGCCTCAGTCTCCCAAAGTGCTGGGATTACATGCGTGAGCCATCACTGTGCCTGGCTTAAAATTAGAATTTTAAACAAAGAAACAAAATAATTTTCATCCTTTAACTGTTATAAATTAAAGTAATTGACAAATAGTGAAGAGAGAGCAAAAAAACCCCAACTCACTCAATGTTTTAAAATACTAACAAGCAATTTTACCATGTGGAAAATGTATAAATTGAAACAATATTTCTATATTTTCCTCTTTTTATGGTTTTTTGCACTTAGTAATGAATACATATCCTAAAATATACAATAAGTTACTATACAGACTTTATAACTCAGAGTTACTACTAAAGCTGCCTACAAAAAACTACAATCCTCATACGTACACACACAACACAGAACTTGGGAGACTATGAAGAACTTATAGGTTTTTTAAGTGATGGACTAAAAGGAGCTGTGGAAAACAATTTAAAGATGTTACTGTGAGGGCAGACCTATGAGACTTAGAAACCCTTTGCTCATAAATACTTCCCTTTGAACTGTGTGAATATTTTAATTTTACTTTGTTAAGCAACTAGAAATTTCATCAACTACAGGTACACTTAGGTAATAAATATTCTCTTTAAAAATCATCTTGGGTGAGACTTCTGGAATGGTGGAGTAAGTATCTCTGAAACTCCATAAAAGCAATGAGAACACTGGCAAAATTGTCAAAATCAACTTCTTTAAGAACTCTGAAAATTAAGAAGGCTTGTAACAATACAGGGAGTATTTAAAGAAAAACTGCCGAATCTCAGTAAAAGCAGTGAGCTTTCTGGTAGTTTAAGTGTCCTTGTTCCCATCTTCTGCTTCCCAGCTCCACAGCAGCCTTGAAAACAGCAGTCTCATAATCATGAAAACTGTGAAAAGGTAGAGTTTTGCAAGTCACTAGAGTGGGGACAGACCAGGTTTGAAGGGTCTCAAAAAGTCTCACTGTCTTGTCTGGCAGCTTCCTGAAACAGCGCCATCTGAAGGACTCGTTATTTGATCTCACTCTGGCTAGCTCAGTGGGAAAAGTCCTATTTCCAGGTAGTTTGTTGAAAACAATCAGTGGCAAATGTTTTAACATCCAACATCACAGATGCCTGAGCCTGCAATACCAGTTGGGGCAAATGAGCTTGGTCAAAAATATAAAAGGAATAATAATTTAGGGAATTAGATGTCCACCGGGGACTCTAAAAATCTAGAGGCTCATGCACATACTCAAGTCCAGGTGCAAGCCTAGGAAGACTTGAAAGAGCCCTAACCTGTCACTTCTGGTTGACCTTCAGAGCCTGCATATAAAGGGAATGCTAAGATGAGGGTGTAAGATGCCAGAGCATTGAAGGCGTGTGCGTTCCCCCTCCACCACAGATACTCTTGGCAAAGGGTGGAAGACATATTGAATCAAGGGTGCTTAAGGCAATCTCTGTCTAGTTGTTAGGTGACCACTAAGTCAACTAAGCATATTTCAGTGGCTGCAAATCAAAATCACAATGAGATTACGTTTCATACTTGCTAGGATGGCTGTAATTTAAAAAAATGAAAAATAACAAGTGTTGGTGAGCATGTAGAGAAACTGGAGTTCTCATACACTGCTGTTACAAATGTAAAATATTGCAGCCACTTTGGAAAACTGTTTGTCAGTTTCTACACAAGCCAAAATAGAGTTATACATAGAGTTATCACATGATTCAGCAATTCTACTTACAGGTATATACTCAAGAGAACTGAAAACATGTGTTCACAAAAAAACCTGTATATGAATGTTCATAGCAGCATTATTCATATTAGTCAAAAAGTAGTACAAACAACCCGAATGCCCATCGATTGATGAATGGGAAAATAAAATGTGGTGTATTTATACAATGAAATGTTATTTATAAAACGACTGATATGCTACAATAGGGATGAATCATGAAAACATTATACTGATTGAAACCCATCACAAAAGTCCACATATTGTATAATTCCATTTATACAAAATGTCCAGGAAAGGCAAATCTATAGAGATAGAAAACAGATTAATAGTTGTCAGGGGCTAGGAGTAAGGGAGGCTCAGCATTTCTTTTTGGGGTCATGAAAATATTCTACAATAGATAGTGCTGAGAGTTGAATTCTGTGAATATACAAAAATCACTCTACTGCACACTTTAAAACAGCAAGTTTACAGTTTCACTATTTATATATATAAAAAATTATCACCAGGCACAGTAACTCACACCTGTAATCCCAGCAATTTGGGAGGCTGAGGTGAGATTTCCTGAGCCCAGGGGTTTGAGACCAGCCTGGGCAACTTGGTGAAACCTCGTCTCTACAATGAATAATAAAAAAATTAGCCGGTATGGTGGTGTGTGCCTGTAATTCCAGCTACTTAGAAGGCTAAGGTGGAAGGATCACCTGAACCCAGCAGGTTGAGACTGGGGTGGCTATGAGTGTGCCACTGCTCTTTAGTCTGGGCGACAGAGTGAGACTCTGACTCAAAAAAAAAAAAAAAAAAAAATTATCACTTGTTATGGCTCTAAAACAAATACACAGGATGGTATCAGTTTGAGTTAGGTGTGCTTTCACCTGAAAAGAGGAGTTGTTTTTTTTTGTGTGTGTGAGTTGGAGTAAAACTCTGTCGTTGAGGCTATAGTGTAGTGGCATGCTCACAGCCACTGCAGCCTCTACCTACTGGACTCAGGCAATCCTTCAACTTCAGCTTTCCAAGAAGCTGGAACTATAGGTTTGTGCCACCACATCCAGCTACTTTTTGATTTATTGTAGAGACAAGGTCTCACCATGTTGCCAAGGCTGGTCTTGAACCTGTGGGCTCAGGCAATCCTCTCACCTCCACCTCCCAAAGTGCTGGGATTATAGGCATGAGCCACTGTGCCCGGTTATGTGGTACATTTTCACGGGCAATTTAAGGACTGCATGTATTTTTTATTTTTTATTTTGAGTTGGAGTCTCACTCTGTTGCCCAGGCTGAGTGCAGTGGCATGCTCATGGCCACCACAGCCTCCACCTGCTGGACTCAGGTGATCCTTCCACCTCAGCCTTCCAAGTAGCTGGAACCACAGACATGTACCATCATGTCCAGCTGATTTTTTTATTTATTGTAAAGACGAGGTCTTGGCATGTTGCTCAGGCTGGTCTCGGACCCCTGAGCTCAGATAATACTCTTGCCTCTGCCTCCCAAAGTGCTGGGATTACAGGTGTGAGCCACTGCACCTGGCTTTCATGTATTTTTTAATCCAAACAAATAAGAAAGCCATCTCACTGTTTATCTCTCCCTTGAATATGTAAAGATTAACTAGAAGGCTTCCAGGCCTAAATAAAGATGAGGAAAAATGCACATATATAAATTAGACAGATATTATGTATGCATATTTATTTTTATATATAAACTTCTAATTACATAAAGTTATACAGTTGAACCTTGAACATGAAACTGCACACATCCAATTATATATGGACTTTCTTCTGCCTCTGCTGACCTGAGAAAGCAAGACCAAACCTTCCTCTTCCCTTTCCTTCTCAGTCTATCCAACATGAAGACAAGGATGATGATCTTTATGATGGTCCTCTTCTACTTTGACAGTAAATATGCTTTCCTTACGGTTTTCTTAATAACATTTTCTTTTCTCTAGCTTAATTTACTTTAAGAATACAGAATATAATACATTTAACAAATAAAATGTGTTAATAAACTTCTTTGTTAAAGGCAAGGGTTCTGGTTAACAGTAGGCTATTAATAGTTAAGTTTTTAGGGAGTCAAAAGTTATACATGGATTTTCCACTATATTGGGAGTAATGCTCCTAGCCCCTGTGCTATTCAAGGGTCAACTGTAGTTATATGTTTAATAAAAATGCACATACTCCATTGTTCAATAAAGACCATTATCAAAACCATACGTCAGTATTACTACATACGATGACGATACTTCAAGATATTCCCCCTACCAGCTCCACCCTCCTCGATAAAAAGATATTAAATCTCCAAATAAATACCTGAAAGTTAGTTTCTTTCCATCCAGGTTTCTTGGCCAGCATCCTCACTAATGCTTGGCATGGCATTTCAGTTTGGTCCATGAGTTCAACAGCCTTGAAGTAAAATAAGAGAATAAGAATTAAAGGGTCAAAGATGAGTTGCAAAGGAACAAATACCAAAATCAAGTAAGTAGTTACCTTTGAAGGAGATAGTGGAATAGCATTGAGGAAGGTTATAGAGAGAGTATATATAGTTTTTACTATGTTTTATTTGTGTGTGTGTGCATGCATGCATGCATGTGTCTGAAATGCTTTAATTTTTAATATTTTTGGTATATGTCTTTTATATTAATATTACTGAAACTTCAAAATTTCACATTTCAGGCATTAGGATAATTTGATCCATGGAAAATAATAGTAACAGTTAGTGTGTGGCAGAAACTGCTTACACATATTTTCTCTTACTAGATTTTCCTAAAAACATAGTGAAGTAGGATAGATTATAAGTTCTAAGGTATCAAATTTCAAAGATCCACAAACTCAGTCTAAACCAGATGAGTGATAGTGCTGGAATACTCCTGCCTCAAGTCCCAGTGCTCTTTTAGTTTCTCATACCCCTCCTCATTAAAATCACATAGTATATGCCAAGATGAACTACTATGCTCCTTTCCAGCTGTCCATACCAATGGATAGTGCTGCTCCGCCAAGGAAACATGACAAAGGGAGAAACACAGAAATGGATGTGGTGTGCTTTAAGTAGAGACCTCTCTGCCTTGTAAGTTTATGAGCATAACTTAAAAATTAATCTAAGCCTTATAATTCAGAATAAAAACCTAATTTTCTTCAATAAGTATTAAGTTATGAGCTTATAGAAGCCATAGAATACAAATATTATTGAAAGGCAATAAACACTACACAGCTACAAAAACAAATAGGAAAACCTCATCTCATCTTTAGTTAAAACCCTGAAACATGTTCACTGGTTATAAAACATAGCAATTAGGACAAACTCTTCATTTGTCAAATTCATTGCTTCCATGCTATCTAATTTTCTTTCATGCTGAATTCATCTGTATGCGCATACCTTCTGGAACTCTTCCATGCAGGCCAGCCTTTCCTTCCAGTTACTGCTGTCTAAAAGCTGTATACAAGTAGGGGGAAGGACAGCTGAAGCTTTTTCTTCACATACTTCTATCTGCAAGATACAAAAGTGTATAAAATTTGGAATTAAGGAAACAGATGGAAAAAAATGTCAACAAACACCAGCCAAAACGAAAAGAATACTCCCTTGGGTACACTATAGTATCTGAGGCTTCTATTTTACTGCCACAAAGGGGAAGTTTGTCCAAGGCAGTTTCAATAAACTCAAAGATAACAATTAATTATATGTTGTACAATCCAGCAAAGAAAGAACTCAGATCTTCTCCTAGGTCTCATTTTTCATGGTTTTCCTAGTTTGAGGCACAGTGTACAATACTAACCGAGAGCTCAGGCTCCACTATTTCTTTGGTCTCCAATCCTTTCTTGCTCTTGGTTCCAGCGCTCCCTGCACCTCCTGGTGCAGTTGGTTTCCCCTTCTTAGGTGGCCCACCAGTCTAAAAAGCAATTTATGAAATAAAAATTAAACCACATAAGGATTTATCTAGTTGTTTATTTTTCTGAGTCGGAGACACACTCTGTTGTCCAGGCTGGAGTGCAGTGGCATGATCATGGATACCACAGTCTCGACCTGCTGGACTCAGGCAATCCTTCTGCCTCAGCCTTCCTAGTAGCTGGGCCTACAGGCACATGCTACCATACCCAGCTAATTTTTTCCCCCCACATTTATTGTAGAAATTAGGTCTCGCCAAGTTGCCTAGCCTGGTCTTCCCACTTTAACCTCCCAAAGTGCTGGAATTACAGGTATGAGTAACTGTGCCCAGCTAACACTCATAAGAATTTTAAAATCACAGTGGTTTTTTGACAATTTTTAGGCCATAGAACTCCTTACAGATTTGATTAAAACAAGGGCTCAAAAATAAACATTTTTCATGTCCACAGAATTTAGCAGTTTCAAGGGCAGATAGAAACCCTGAAGACCATCCATGGTACAGACTGCAGAGTCCATATAAAAACCTCAAATTCAAATTCAGAATAAGCTAATGAGATAAATGAAGCAAAAGTGATGGCTGGTAAGTATATTACAATTATTTATTTATTGTACAGACAAGATCTTGCCAAGGTGTCCAGGCTGGTCTCGAACCCTTAAGCTCAGACAATCTTCTCGCCTCAGCCTCCCAAAATGCTGGGATTATAGGCATAAGCCACTGCGCCTGGCAAGAATACATTTATAGATTCATTTGAGAATGACACCCTGATGTCTTTAAATCTCTCCTAAATCAGTAAAGGACAAGTTTCTAAGTTACCATAAGAAAACATATTATTAAGCATTGTAGAACTTTATAATTTGCAAAGGAAAAAAAGGGATTGTCATAGCAGTATCAGTTAGTGTTCCAGTTATGTTGAAGATCCATCTCACTGAGAATTTTTACTGTGTTAGGTTTTCAGGAGACTTGCTTGAGTTTTAAGCATATGATCATATAATCTACAAAGTATAATTCTGACTTTTCCTCATATTAATACTTTTTACTTTATTATTTTGTCTAGTTGTAGAACATTTTAAAACAATTATGATACCAGTAAGCATTTTTTGTTTTAGTTCTCACTTTAACAAGACTATAGCAGGCCAGGCATGGTGGTTTATGCCTGTAGTCCCAGCACTTTGGAAGTGGAGGTAAGAGAATTGCCTGAGCCCAGGGGTTCAAGACCAGCCTGGGCAACTTGGTGAGACCTCATCTTTACAATAAATCAAAAAATTAGGTAGGCGTGATAGTGCGTGCCTACAGTTCCAGCTACTTGGAGGCTGAAGCGGAAGGATTACCTGAGCCCACCAGGTCGAAGCTACAGTAGCTGTGAGCATGGCACTTCACTCCAGCCGGGGTGACAGAGTGAGACTATAACTCAAAAAATAAAAAATAAAATCTAGTATTTCACCATCGTTATGAAATATTTATATTACTGAACTATCCATTAAAAATAGTAGTACATTTTATGTTAAGTTGACCAAAAACACATACTCCTATACTTTTATTACCATTTTAATCTCTTTTAAGGTTTCCACAGCCAAATGCATTGCTGGAATAATTTGTCTTCATCATCAGATGTTCTGCTACATTTTCAATGTGGTAAATAAATTCATTCTTCAAATGAATCATTTCAGAGAACAACTATGCACCTGAGATTCAGACTCTACTTTACTAAGTTCTATTTTTAAGCCATCTATTAACCTTAGTAGCAGGTGCCTTTTTTAAGGGTCCTGGTTTGGGTGCAGCAATGTCCTTCGTGTCCTTATCCCCCGCAGCCCCTGAGGCAGCAGTCCTTCCGGGCACTGGTTTGAATTCCTTCTTATCAGTTGCTACTCCAGCTTTCTTACCATGTATCAGTTCTACTTTTTCTGAACATTCTTTGATCTAGAGAATGAAAGTGAGATGAACATCATTAAGCCCAACTTTGAAACACAATCACTATGTTATTACTTAAGTCATTTCTAAACCACAACTACATATGAGAATTCAGAGGGAAGCTTCCCTTACAAAAAAAGTAAGTTATCCACACTTTCTTGGCAGACATATGCATTAATGTCTTACATTTTACTTCTTCACCAGTTAGAATTATAATAAACTTACAAAGACCACATTTTTGATGAAAGACATCAACATTTAGAAAGGTCATTTTTTAGACTTTAGAAACAAATTTATCTCACAACATTGTGTTCACCTTCTCTACAGATAGGTCACTCAACTTTTTTTTGGTTATAATTTGATATTTCTACTCATATCACCACTATGGCCTGGAATGAAATTCTAATTCTCAAACGATGATTTCAAATTCTAGGTCTAAACCACTAGTGAAGAATGCAATACATTTCCTGGGTTGAAATCAGCCTTATTTTTTCCCTCAAGGAAATGAAACAGGTATAATTGAAAACAAAAAGTACCAGAGAGCACACTCAGAGTTTGTTTCAATTGTGCATTTATTTCTATGAAACGTACATTTTTTTCCTGTTATGAAAGGTAACAAAAAATTGAGAAATTCTGATAAAAAAGATACCAGTACTTTCTAATTTCTAAGAAACAAATTCACAACGTAAAGAGACAGGACAGTTGTCCAATTCAGTATAACCCATTACTAACCTACCTTATCAAGCTTGAGTTTGTCCACATCAGCTAAGAATGGGTTTACTGCTTTTTCACCAACCACCTTCAAAGCAGTACCCAATGCTTCAAATGCAGCATCTCTGACTTCAGGAGCAGAATCATTGATGTGCTATAAGTCCAGAAGTAAGTAAAATGATCTTAATGCAATGTATTTTAGGCATTTCTTATTTTAATTTGAACTGATAGGTGTTGGATAAAGAATTTGCTTTTTCTAACTTACTAAAGCTAGGTGTAGCTTTTATGTTGCCTATTAGCATTTATTCTTTCACAATTCCTTCTGGGCTAAGGAAACCTCTGGTGATCCATTCAGCAAGTAAGTGCTTTCTTTTCCTCTTAGCCTCTATCTAAAAATGCCTTTACTCCCCAATAATCTTCAAATACTTCACATTTGATACCTATGCTTGGCCAGATCCAGCTGAACACCAGTATAGGGGCCACGTAAGAAACAACATGTTTTTTATTTTATTTTATTTTTTTGAGTTGGAGTCTCACTCTGTCGCCCAGACTGGAGTGCAGTGGCCGCTCCCAGCCACCGCAACCTCGACCTGCTGGGCTCCAACGATCCTTTCGCCTCAGCCTTCCGAGTAGCTGGAATTACAGGCACGTGCTACCATGCCCGGTTAATTTAATTTTATTTTATTTTATTGTGGAGATGAGGTCTCGCCTGCCCAGGCGGGTCTCGAACCCGCGGGCTCAGGCAATCCACTCACCTCAGCCTCCCAAAGGCACAGGATTACAGGCTGAGCCACCAAGCCCGGCTAAGAAACAAAATGTTTAGCAATTAATGGAATCATGAAATTAGCTTGTGCTTTCCTTCAAGAATAGGAACCCAAGCAGTTATAAGAATTTGGATTCAGCTTCCAAAGCTGTAAAGGGTCTAATTCTCAAAAGATCATAATATACAGTCTGAAAATCAAGTAGTCACCATATATAATCTGTAGGAAAAAAAAATCTTGCCTAGGTATAAAATATACCCCAATTTCAAAGACAGTCTATACCTTAAGTAGTGCAGCACAAAAGGGCTTTAGCAAGCTCTTTGGCAGGGTAGAAGCAGTGCAGTGTCGGAAGCTTCTTGCAATAAAAAGAGATGTCTGCTGCTTGATGGTTGGATTTTTATTATCCATTACTGCTAAAATGTCCTCACTGATGTTCTGCAGTGTGGTCTTTAGAAAGAAAATGTGGTCAATAAGCTTTTCTTAATTGTAGAGAACAATCGAAATATCATATTGTCAAAACTGACTTCAGATACAACCACAAACTCATGCTGTCAACTTACAGTAAGGAAGATTGCATCAATTGCCTCCTGTAGGGCTTGTACCACTTGAGGTTTCTTCTCTTTGAATTTCTCCAAAATGGTTGGCACGACCTATAAAGTGAATAGCTGGAATATTATTCAGCAATAAAAAGGAATGAAGTATTGATATATACTAGAACATGGCTGAACTTTGAAAACAACATGCTAGGTGAAAAAAGCCAGTCATAAAAGATCACATAATGCATGATTCCATTTACATGAAATGTCAAATCTCTAGACACAGAAAGTAGATCAATGGCTGCCAATGTCTTCGGGGGAGAACAGATGGGCAATAACCGCTAACAGGTATGGGTTTCTTTTTCTTTGTAGAGTGATTAAAATGTTCTGGATTTAAATAGTGGTGATGGTTATACAACATTGTGAATATTCTAAAACAACTTTAAGAGGGCGAATTTTACAGTATCTAAGTATTATCTCAATAAAGCTGCTGTTCAAAAAACGACCTTTGCTCTACCAAAACAAAAAAAGTGAGCACTTAAGTCATTTTCTTTCTCAAAGGGCACAAGAATATTATGCTGTAACAATTAGGAGTTCTTATTCTGTCCCACTACAGCAGTGCTTCTCAACCTATTTTCTGCCTCTGTATCTTATATGCAACCACATAATCATTGCTACCAGTAGCATCTCTCATTAGACAAAATTATTCTCAGATAGGGTAAATTTAGGGTAGAGGAAGAGGTATAGTAAATAATTCTTCCTCCCAAACCAAGATTCTGATATATCTCAATGGATTAGGATGTCTCCTGTCCCTTCATGGCCCTAGGGGAAAAAAAGGAAAGAAAAAGAAGTAGTACTAGAAATTACAGCAATTTGTGATCAGAATTATATCTTCTTATTCACGCACTAAGTTTAAATCAGTGAAGTTGGAATTTTTATAATTTTAGTTTTACTTTCTAAATTGTTACTAATTTATTAAATACTGAATGCCTAATACATACAACAATTGAGAGTCAGGCACTTCGCTAGCAGGTAAAATGAAAAAAAATTCACACTCAGTGATCTATCACAGAAACAAAGAACAGAGTACCCTATGTCCTCACTCAAAAGTGGACCTTGAACAATTATTATAATACTGTAAGAAAGGGATTGGCAGTAGTGGGAAACTGTCAGGGAAGAAGGAGTAGTATTGGCAGTTGAGAAAAACTGTTAGGGGAGGGAGAGGCACACCTCATCAACAAGGGTACCTGCATAATGAACATTTGTATACCTAACCCTGAATTGTACCCCATGTCTTTAAAATTAAAAAATAATAATAATAAAGGTCCAAAAGATATAGGAAAGCTCAACGGCATCTGAAAAACAATTTCTTTCTAAATTTCACAGAAATTATACAGACTACTTGGTATACCAAGGAATATGATTCCTATAGAAAAGCTTAAAAGGCTTTTTAAAATCAGAAGTTAGTTATAAACTCGAATATTAAGATATTTTAATGGCTATAAAGCTAAAGTTCACTTTTATAAATATTGCCAAAAAGAATATATAAACAGTAAAAGAAAATAAAGACAAATTAATAACATGCTGATACCAAATACTGTATAATTTATGGTTTTATGGGGGGGATAAGCCTCAAACTATAGAGGAATGGAAACATTCTTTACCTGCACAACAAAGTGAAAAATAACCAGAATCAGAACTCAAAGTAGAGGGCCAGGTAATCATCAAACCAAAATTTAGCAAATTAAAATGGATTTTAAAAATTGCTTTGTACTTTGAAAAATTACTTCTAACACAAAAGTATAAAATTTCCTAATAAGTAACACAAAACTGATCAAAAGCTAGTTAATATACTGATAGCATAGATACTATATAATATTGATTGCTATAATATATTGATTATATTTCATTTCAATTTATGATTTACTTGTCTAAGGGTTTTATAGACCCTTATTTTTATTTCCCGAGTAATAAGCCAGTCATGCTTTATTTTTATTTGGTAGTGTCTTCCTTGTCTTCGGTTAAGTTCTCAGAAATTATTTTTAATGCTATGAGTAAGCAAGCTCGAAATACCATAGCTCAAGTTAAGGCTAGATATTACCTTCATAATATAAAACTGACACAAGACTAGGGATTAATAGGAGACCTAAGTCAATTTAGGAAACCAAAATGATCAAAGAGATAGAAAGATAGAACTTTTTATAAAAGTTCAATAGGGTTGATTTTTAGGGTGCTAAACCATTCTAAGTAATTTAGATCAAATTTAGAGGCCAACTGATAAATACTACAGCTAAAGAAAACATCTCAATTAATTAAAATTATTACCAAACTTGATTGCTACCAAAGTTACACATACAAAGTAGTATATACAACAAGTCTCACATCAGATTTTCTAAGAATAAATTAAACTGATATCACCAACAGTGCAACCTATATAAAATGTCTCAAATATACCGAGAGGGCCAAAAAAAGAGTATACAATTTTAAGAAAAGAAAAATTGTATTAAAATTGTAATACTCAATATATACTGAAAACAAAAGATGAATATAAGTCATGTTTGACTTCTGCCATTACAAGAGGTGCTAAAAGTGGTTACCATCAGTGTCCAGACACTTCTAATTATGGCGAACTAAAAATATACAGGTAACATCACTTAAAATGTGTATATATATTTTTTGGCACCTCGGTATAAGTAAATTATATGTTAAAAATAGGAAAATATGATAAAGCACATTATATATATTAACTTCACAGTTTTACACTTGCAGTTTTATACTGCCTTTCTTACTCTCATTGGCAGCATGGTCCTGGTCATTATAAGTTTTATTTCAGTCGAGCTCGGTGGCTCAGCCTATAACCCTGAGCCTTGGGAGGCTGAGGTGAGTGAATTGCCTGGGCCCGCGGGTTCGAGACCCACCTGGGCAACTTGGTGAGACCTCATCTCTACAATAAATCAA